CCGGGATCAGGGTTCACTGGTAATTTTCTTACCTAGTTTGAGGTTTTTAAATTATAACACTACATTTGTTTCTGTTTTGCAAATTGCAACAAAACAACAAAGAGGTACTTATCTGAAATTAAGATGAAAGGGGATGTTTGTAAGTGGCATTGGGTGCATTTCGAAATGTTGATAGATAATTGGTGTTTTTGTCATCAGGCCAAACTTCAAAATCACCTTTAATATTATGCATTTATATGAATTATCAATTTCCATGGTTAAGAGTGGCATCTTTTTTTTTTTTTTGGAACAATTGTGAATAATTACCATTTTTTACTACTTGTAAGGTTGCTTTTGAGGATGGAACAAGTACCTCTTACGCACTCTCAAGTTCACAAGAAAGAGGGCAGATGTTCATTTCGCCTGGAATCGATGTTTATAAAGGTCAAATAGTCGGTATTCATCAGCGCCCGGGCGACTTGTCCTTGAACGTTTGCAAGAAAAAAGCTGCCACGAACATCCGTTCGAACAAGGAACAAACAGGTAACAGAACAGAACTACCTTGTCAAATATCTTATAAATGGTTTGCAAGCAAATATGTACTGAAAAGGTTAATTTGTAATCTATAAATGATAACTTTTTTTTTTTTTCTTTTGGTGATTATGCTAAACGTATGGTAGTTTTTGCTATTATACAAATTAAAATAGTGAGCAAAACCGAGTTTAATTGTTCTGAGTTTGTTACATCGAGTATTCTATCGACCGTGTTCTCTGCTGTGAATGCAGTTGTTCTTGATACTCCATTGGATTACAGTCTGGATGACTGCATAGAGTACATTCAAGAAGATGAACTTGTTGAAGTTACTCCCTCGAGCATCCGCATGTGCAAAAACCCAAAGTTTGCAAAGAAGTCTCGTTGAGGGCTTTTGGTCAGCTTTTGTCGCATGCTATCATTTGATGTTATAATTTCGACTCTTGATGATTTTTTTCGACTTAGGTATACGAATACAACAAAGGCAAGGAGATTCTTTTGAAGTTTTGCTCTATTTGGGGGTGTCTATAGCAATGTGGAACTTTTTGCAGATATGTAATGGATAAATTCTGCCATTCTTAATATTTTGTGGAAAGATTACATGTATGCAAGAACA